CACCACCAGTATATACCTGTCACAAGTTTATTAACAGATAGAATTAATCATTCCAGTGTCGCATCAGAGATCGAGTTACCAAACTATTCGGGGTAACGCACGATTCATTTTATACTGTGATTACCACATACATGTATGGATCTAAAAAGCCATTATATAAGTCTATAATAACGCATAACAATTTCACTATTATTTAGAAATGTCTTAAATACAAAACATTACAACAACTATAAACACTATTATATATTGCGTGTTCAAGTAACTAGTAACTTGTGTCATGCGCACGTCCATTCAAAGATTGGATTATACTATCAGAAGCACGTGCACGGGTGAAATGTTCGTTAAAGAAACAACAAATTGGACCAAATGCCTTATAGATTATCTGAAGAAAGACGGTAACCCGAAGCTATAATCTTCTCCCTTACAAAATGCATGGAAATGTAATTGATGGTGCCAGAGTCGGCAGCAGTGTACTATTTTGTCATTTGCAGCACCCTCTATTCATTTATGTACGACAAGGGAAATCCTTACTGCATAATTTGCATATACATATAACATAAAACACTGCCCGTTTTATGGGGTATTTTTAAAGTGCCTGTGCAATGCCTACCCACACGTTTCCCATTTTAGATCTGTGTCCCACTGAAACGGGCAGTTATTGATTTATTTGCTGAAAATGATTACTCGTATCCAAGTAAATTTGTGATATTTTCCATGCTGTAGCCACGCCCACCTATACTGAAACGGTCGACTGTTTCCGGATTTCCGACTCTCGCCGAAAGTGCGCCACCAAATGTCAAAATATGAGAGGAAGCCATGCCCCTGAGCCCTGGCTGAAAATTTCAAGTGATTGATACAAAAAGAGAAACAAAGTGGTGACCCTTGAAATCTCAAACAATAGAGGGCGTATAGAGCGCGACAGGCATCCTTGAGGGATTAGGCAGATTGACACCTTTTAACAATAGCGTTTCCTAACCGTTCTTTTTAGTAACCGTGAAATAAATTAAACTATTTGGTACTTGAAACGAGACCCGGAAGTAAACATTCTGGTATATATGTCATGGACCTAACTGGACGACCACAGATGATGATGTAATTAATCGCATAATAAGATGGTCATTACCTTAATATAGTCAGGAAATAGTTTCCGGAAGTAAACATGCTGGTATATATGTCATGGACCTAATCGGACGACCATCGATGATGACGTAATTAATCGCATAATAAGATGGTCATTACCTTAATATATTCAGGAAATAGTTTCATGATGTAACAACGTTAGTAAATTCAAATATGCTATCAGTTAGCAACATATCAGTACCACTTCAGG